ATAAGACTAGGAATGCAATGCATAGCAAGTTGATTATAGTTAATGATTTTTTTTAACATATTGGAATGTTGCCAATAGAGTAAATCTTCACAAGAAAAATGTTAACAGTGTGTAGTGATGGATATTAACTAGATTTATTGTGGTGATCATTCCACAATATAAACAAATGTCAAATTATTATGTTGTACATGAGAAACTAGTACAATGTTATATGTCAATTATATCTCAATTAAAAAAATATATATGTAAAAGACCATGTCCTCTCTCAACAGAGAGTTTTACTTATTTCTTTTTTTATTTGGGTGACTTTTCTTCTTTCTTTCTCTTCTTCTTTTTCTTCCTTCCTTCCTTCTTTCCTTCCTCCCTCCCTCCCTCCCTCCCTCCCTCCTTCTTTCCTTCCTTCCTTCCCTCCTTCCTTCTTTCATTCCTTTCTTCCTTCTTCCCTCCCTTCCTTCCTTTCTTCTTTCTCTCAGTTATTTTTCTGTCTTCCCCTGCTACTTTGGACCAGCATCTCAGTGACCACTGAAGCGAACCCCAGCCCCAGACAGCATGTGCAAAGGGGCTGGCATTGCTACTTCTCTCCCTGCAGAGGTCAGGGTCACTGATCTGGGACAAGGCCTGCTCTAGGCTGCCAGTTTTTTGCCTGGCTCTCTGTCCTTATGGTTTTGTCTCGGGCCACTGCCTTTAGCCACTCAGGCCTACCTCTGTCATCCAGGCCACTCCCTAGTAGATGAATTACAAGTCCCTTGTCCTAGTCCCCTATATTTTAGGGCTATTTAAGTTTAACTAAAATGAATAAAATTAAAAATTCAGATTCTCAGTTGCACTGGCTGCATTTCAAGTGCTCCGTAGCCCCACGTGGCTGATGGCTTCTGTGTCAAACATGTAGATCCAGAACATTCTATCATAACAGAAAGTTCTCCTGGACAATTGTCCCAGCAGACATTTGACGGAATAATCTGTCATTCTCTTGACATTATAACTGACTCTCTCCACCCTTGTCAAGTTATGTATAAAAGATTGTTCCCCTTTACCTCTGGGCTAACTGTTGTCTCATGTGCCAGCAGTGGTCTAAGTGGCATTTACACAGAGACTAACAGTGTAGTGTGGCCAGCATGCTGAAGGGGATTTAGGTGTCAACATGAGCTTGGTGGAAAAAATTCATTACCTTTTCTTCCAGTTATAGAATTATGATAACAGTGGCTGAATTGGGGTTTTCCAGAGGGAGACATACAAATAGCATTCCAATATAATTCGACTCGATATAAATTTTTTTGTAATATTTTAAAATTTTTATTGAAGTATCGTTGATACACAATATTATGTTAATTTTAGGTATACAACATAGTGATTCAACATTTATATTCCTTACACTGTGATCACCACAGTAAGTCTAGTAATCATCTGTCACCATACAAAGTTATTAGGATAATGTTGATTATTTTCTCTAGGCTGTATATTACATCCCCGTTTGAAGGGTCATAAAAGAAAAAGCCTCTGTTATCCCTAAATAACTTGACAACTCCCAGTAGGTCATGGCCAGCCAAGAGCCCATCAGCTCACCAGTATGCTGGGGCCAGCCTGCCTGGAAGCTCCTGTCCAGCCCCCTGCCAGAGCTGCAGGGTTGTCCTCTACTCTTGTGCTGAACATTAGGGGCTCTGTGGCTTGGGAGGGGCATGCTGTGTTCCTTCCCTGTCTGGTTTATGTGTTGGCAAGGACTTGTCACAGTGCCTGGGCAGGAGACATCTGCTGTGTGTTCTTAAGCCCGGTGAGCGTTGCTTCGCCTCTCTGTGTGCTGTGGTGCTTCTTTCCCCACCAACAAATCCTGTGAACCAGAGCCTCATTCACAGGGCTTCTCTCCCCTCTCCTGCCCAGCAGTGCCTCAGTATGGCTGGCCAGGGTGGGGTCTCGGGTGCTATTCCACGTGCTGGGAGATTCAGGCCAGCTTCTAACTTCTCCTCATCCATTGGAAGTATCAAGTTCTTTGCAAGAAAGACATAAATGTATTTCAGCCTGATATTAATCTCAAAACTTGGCCATAATGGGCATTAGAAAATTCTCCCTTATGAGTTAATGTCAATTGCATGCTGATAGGTCTTTATCGATTATATTTGAGTTGTTTATATGTTGACTCAACTATCCCAGGAATTAAGATTTTTCAGAGTCTGCATTATGAAGATGTATGCTTTGAGACAGTGTCATGAGGTGGGACTGCCTGAGACCCCCTTCCTTTAGTTGAGTAAGCTGGTAGACAGCAGTGGTCGATGGGATGAGCCCAGCACGCCTGCCCAGGCGCTCTGTAATTGAACATCTGTCTCCCCAGATGCCCAGAGCCTTGCCCTTCTGCTCACATGGCTCAGTGCATTGGGAGCTTTAGAGTTGTGTGGAGGCCCTATGAAGACAGGCTCAATCGGAGTGCTGTCACCTGCTGATTCTTAGCTTCTTGCTGGCAAGCAGGGAAAGTGGTTCGCAAGGAGTGAAGGGTGTTTTAGAACACTACAGGATGGCAGGGTGCTTGACGTGGGCCAGTGCATGCACCTTGAGGCCCCTCTCACTCCTCTCTCTCTCATGCTTTCCTTCTTTCTTTCTTCAGTTTCTACGGCACGGGTCTCATCGCCGGCCATGGCTTCACCAGCCCCGAGCGTACCCCTGGGGTCTTCATCCTGTTTGACAATGACCGCTTTGGGTTCATTTGGCTAGAGCTGAAATCCTTCAGCCTATACAGTAGGGTCCAGGCCACCTTCCGGAATGCAGACGCACCGTCCCCACAGGCCTTCGAGGAGATGCTCAAGAACATTCAGTCCCTGACCTCCTGACGGCCTCCTTCCCCGCCAGGGGGTGGCCCCCAACCCCTCAGCCTGGGAAGAGCAGCAGCATGCACTTTGGAGATTTGACCTCTGATCAGAGCACCCACTTCCTTGTAGGCGTCTCGGCCCAGCCACCTGAGGCACTTTCTATAGAGTGTGCAACATACGCCTGTGTATTTGTCAGTAGCTGATGGGAAAGCTGAGCTGAGCATGTTCTTACCAAAAAAAAGAAAAAAAAGAAAAGAAAAAAGAAAGAAAGAAAAAGAACCAGAACTGATTGAGAAGATGGGCTGCAGGGGCATGGAAATAATTGAGTTGGGGAAACTGGGTTTGTCTTTGGCCCACTGGCAGTTTTCCAGGGAAAACAGAATCCTCCTTCAGGGAAGTTTATGACTTAACAGAGTCTCTTGCCTTGGACCGATCTAAGAGGTCGAGTGTGTAGGGTGCCAGCTCCACCTCTGCTCTGTAGGAAGCAAGTGAAAGTGGCCGTGGGCCTGTGAGGGCCTGGGCGAGGTGAACGTGTGCAGCTGGGCAGGTGCAGAGGGGCAGCGTATGTGGAAAGAGCCCTGGGGACTCAGGGGTGTCGGGCTTGGAACCCAGCCCCGAATTTCTGTTTATCTACTGACTTGCTTGGATTTTGGACAGAAGCACCTCACCCCCTCTCAGTTTCTGACTCAGTGAAATAGGGCTAGTAAAACAGGTCCCTAGAGAACGTCACTGCTGGCCTTTGAGCAGCTTGGGGGCTCTGCAAACACCACCCCTCCCCTGGGCTCTGGGCAGTGCCCATGTGCTTGCCTTGGCCCCTCTCCAGCTTAGAACCGTCTCTACAGCCAGTTTCAGTCACCCCTCGTGCGTACATGGCCCCCTCCCCCCGCACACACTCTGGTGTCAGAATCCAGGTTAAGGTGCCAGGTGTGACTGCACACAACGACTGTGTGGGCCCTGCGCAGGCAAGAGGGCAGTTTCCTAGAAAAGTCGCTGATAGGGGTGCACTTTGGAGACCAGAACCTCCTGGGGATTGTGCCACATGGAGACCCTGAGCACTGACCCTTCTGCTGGCATGCCCATATTGGGTTGACACCTGCGTTTGGGGACCCCTGCTGATGTGTGTTTCTGGAAGAACAGAGCCCTAAATGCATGCAGGCCTCCAAGAGGGTTTCAGCTCTCCTTCCAGCCTGCAGAGTGCCGTCTCCACGCCACGCAGCCACAAGCATGCTTCCCCGGAGGCAGGGCACACTGTCCCCCTCTCCGTTGCTCATCCTTGTTGGGTAGACTGCACTGAGTCCTCACTCTGGGGGCGAGGAACCCCAGGGAAGGGGGAGCTTTGTGGTGCCTTCATGTAGGAGACCAACCCAAGCTGCCCTGTGAAATGCGTCCTCTGTTTTCCTAATTTCTTCCTGACTTTTTTTTTTTTTTTAAATAAAAAAATTCCCATTGCCCTAGCCTCAGTACATTTGGCAACTTTGACCTTCCTTTCCTTTCCAGTGTCAGCATCGTCAGACTTTGGGGCACTAGTGCCTAAATGGCAAACTGGCTCTCCCAGGAGGTTCAGTGGGGACCCAGGAGAGACAAGCAGGGAAGGTGGGGTCTATCTTGGGCAGCAGCGGGGGTCAGCCACCTGGTGCTGTCAGCTGAATCTCGTCAGAAATGAATGCCCACGGCTCACCTTCCAGATCCTTCTAGTAGATCCTGCAGTCAGGTTAAGACACGGCCCCAGTTTCCTTGTCTTTTTTTTAGGACGGAGCCTAAAAGTGTTGTTGCCCATCCCCCGTCTTGCAGTGTGACTTTTTTTCGTGCCAAGTGTGGCCAGCCCTGAATGGTGATAACGGTGGCCATGAAGTTTTGAGGAAAATGACAATGAAGGACAACTCGTTGTGCAGGCTGTTGTTCTCTAAGTTTCACCATTGTTTAAATAAAATCTGCCTATTTGACCCAGAGCCTGAGGCTCGCTCTCCAGGACTCCATCTCTGTCTGAGGCCTCCACTCAGCGTTGTAAAGTGCACATGGATCAAAGACGAACACTTCTGATTATAAACCAATCTCAGATCTGAATGATGTAACCTGCCTTTCCAGTGTTTGGGTCTACACATGGTTTCCACTAATAACGACTAAAATAACTCTAGGCTGTGGGCTGTCACCTGCGTTCACATCGTCTGTATCTCTGGTACGAGGAGGGGCCCCAGAGCTCGTGGGGTTTGTCCAGCTGGCAGTGGCCTGCAGCAGTAAAGAGCAAGGGCTTGTCCTCTGCCCAGCTGGTCATCTGGAGTACGTATTATTTTCC